GTACCTAAATTGCACCTATTCAACAAAAATAGCTGCGGAAATCTTACAAGTTTTCTTTGAGACTAAACCATTTGTATTTTTATGATTTGACATTATACACGTCTTTCAACATAGGTTAATATATTTAAATATACACAAAACGTTCACAGTATATATCAACATATGAATCATTCACTGGAAAAGGTAAAATCTACGGAAACGTCGCATGGAAAAAGTCGTTTTTTTTAAATATGTTACAAGCATCCATTTCTTAAAAAAATAACAGTAAGCATGGACTAATGTCAAATTGTTCTAAATACTTGAAGAAATGAGACAAAACATCTGCTATTCGATTTTTTAGGATGTGAATTTAAGCATGGGTGCAATTCGGGTACTCCTCATTACAGAATCATGGATCGTTTGGAGGTCGGTTCAAACCCATTTTTTATGATTCAATATGGATTCAAAATTAAATTGGTGTAACTATATAGTAAATAAGGATACGTCTACAAAATAAGCACAAAATGGAAACTTTTGTTTGGATCATAAAAAAACGTAGGTGAAAAATAGATGCAATTTGGGTACCCTCACGTTACACGCTCTAACACCAGATTTTGTGTGTAAAGATAAAACATGATTTATACCAATGCAAGCCAAGTAGTATGCCGATAGAATGAACCGTAAAACTTACTTTTAATATACTCAATATAAGAACAAGGAGACGTGGTATGAATGCCAATGAAATATCCACTATAATGACGTTTGAACACAACAAACATTTAAATTGACCTTCCTCTTAATGTTATCTGTAAATGATTTAGTAATCCTCACGTGTACTAAATGACTAATAATTATCATCATTTGTACATGTATGAATTATTTTGACACAAATTTACTTTTAAACTTGACAAATGATATTATGTAACAATACTACATATACTTTACTTTATTGAAATGCACTTTACGCCCCTATGGGCAAATGGCTTACAAACACACGCGAACAAACAAATGAAAAAAAATATATATATAAATTATACAACTATCATACTGATGTTAGATATTTATCAATTATGGTCTTTTGACGAGGTCAATATGTTATATATGATCCTGTTCAGATTATATTGACCGAAAACGAAGTTTTCATCTGTTGCTACGCATGCTTATTTTTTTCTGTGTTTTGTACACGATTGATTTCTGCATTTTGTGTTGCAGAATATATTTCATCCTGTCTTCTGCAAGGTTATATATTTTTAACTTTTACAAGATCAGGATATATAATAATAATAATAATAAATACAATATTTATAGAGCGCATTATATGATAACAACAATTACTCTAAGCGCCTCACATTTAAAAATAATAAAATACAAAAACACATAAAACATAAAATACAAAGCACCAACTAATAAGAACCTAACAAGGAGATAAAGATTCAAAAATGCATGTACCCTAAAATATACAAAACAGTCCAAAATTAACGCAGTCAATCAAAAGTATAAAAAAGGCTACAAGAAATCCTTAAAAGCAGTTCGAAAGAAGTGAGTCTTGAGTTGTTTTTTTAAAAACGTTAAAAGAATTCACACTCTGCAAGGACGATGGTAAACTGTTCCAGAGTGTAGGCGCGGCCTTGTCAAAACGCCTCTCGCCGTAGCTTTTCGTTCGGACGTCATTTGGATGATGTAAAAGCATACTGTTTTCCGACCTGAGGGATCTGTCAGGTTTGTACGGCGTAATTAGATCTTGGAGGTAGCTAGGAGCCTTGTCATGCTGTGCTTTGAACACATATAACAGAAGTTTATATTGGCAGCGGTAATAAAAGGGTAGCCAGTGTAACGAGATAAGAACAGGCGTAATTGAGTCAATTTTCCTTTTTCGTGTAATCAAACGTGCTGCTGTGTTTTGGACACGTTGCGACATAGCTTACTGATAATGTTAGTGTTAGTACCATACAACAATGCGTTGCCATAGTCTTGCCTTGATGTAACTAGGGAGCATACTAGTTTTCTACAGGCTTCAACCGAAATTAAAGATCGAATTCGACCAATATTCCGAATATGGATCAAACAAGCCTTAGTGATCGCACTGGTTTGATGCTCCATACTGATGATTTTATCAAAGTACATTTCCAGATTTTTCACACAAGAAACGTCGCTTAATACAATTCCATCAAATGTCAGACGGAAATCGGAAAGATGCTTCAATTGATTTTTGGGTGCAAAGATAATTAATTCTGTTTTGTCTTCATTAAGTTTCAGCATATTGGCACTCATCCAATCACCAATATCAGACAAACATTTTTCTGGACGTTTGGACAGATCATACCAGTCTCCTTGCGGTCTTATGATTTGATAAACCGGCGTATCATCTGCGTACGAATGGTATGACATTCCGTGACGCCTGCAAATTTCACCTACTTGTTTTGCGAAAATACAAGATTTATATCAAATGGTCGTTCCCTAAATGATCACTGAATGGATTTGTATAAAATTATCAGAGAGATTTTAGGAATTGACATTGCGCATTTCCTATTTTATTTAGGATCAAAGAGATTTTAAGGGTAAAATACATTATATGGAGAGCTTTATTACTAACTTCTACGTCATTTTGATCCTTGGTGGAGGTTTTCTCATTGGCAATTATACCACATCTTCTTATTTTTATATTTGGTGCTCACAGCACATCTTTTTTTTTCATACAGATACTAGTAACCAATAATCTGTTAATCATTTAGATCACAGAATATAGTTAGGGGTAAAATTCAATATCTGAAAAATTCTTTTGATTTCAAGGACAGTTTATTTGATGGATAAAAATCTGAAATAAAAAAATCTGTCTTTTAACATCACTTGTTATTTGAATGATTTTTATTCGTGTACTGGGTTGTATTGGTGTAACCAAGTTACCACTTGTACAGGTACATATTACATACATATTTTAAAGATACATGATCGTACATACTTTGTCAGATGCTTTGTTTTGTTAACAAGTACATGTCAAACCATTAAATGACCTCAGATCCTATCATTCAGTCACAAATTTTAAACGAATTTTAACTATTATACACCTGAGGATACACAAAAGACTTACCTTCCGTGTGTATTGGATTAAAATACGTTCCTTCTCGAATAAATAAACAACTTGATACGTATAATACGGTTCAATCATGTGAGAATTTTATTTAAAAAATCAAATCTAAAATCTACCATCCGTTTTATGAGTTCCTCTACTGAGTCACCACCTAAAAAAATCACTTGTGCAAGTGCCTCTTTTAACTGAGCAATTTAAAATCTACAATTAGGATTTTTATTTCATATTCCCATGTTGTCATTGAGATATTCTGTTTCGGGGATTCAGAGAAAACACGATTTAAATTTCCAGAAAAAAGTATTTGTTACCCTCCCCCTCCTTTCGTTTCAATAACCCACACATATTTTGATCATTCTCGTGTACGTTCAAGAGTCTTACATTTGATACGTTTGTAGATACAAATAGTTTGTGTTAGTATATTAAAATCTATTACAGTTCAAATGTTTTAAATATATATCACGGTATTCTAATCTTAAACTTTTAATGTTAATATGTCTAATACCTTCTTACCTATACTGTATTCAATTACTTGCACAGACAAAGTGCGTGAATTAAACATGTACATGTAATATTCTAATCTGAAACCTGACAATAAATATATTATATAGACAACTTACAGATGGTTTTTCTAGTATCCCTTCCATTTTCGACCTATACGAAAGATAAACTATTCAGGATTCCATTGTCACCAGGTTCTTTTTTTTTCTCAGGTCGACCACATATGAAATATTTCCGAAGTTATTAAGATACTCTTGACAATGTAGTATTATAATTTATAACGACTTCCTTGTTCGTTCATTTTTTCAATTACCTCCCCTTGATGTGCCAATCTGATTTAAAATAGCTTCAAAGGTCGTCGATATACAGTTTTTGACAAATACCAAAATAAAAACCTTTTGTATTATAAGGAAATAATCGGATACACAATTTTAGTATATTTCTTTTTGACCAACAACACACTTAGTATGTTATATATATCACAAACATTTTGTATAAATTTTCACAGTCCAAAATCCAAATGCAGTAATCTACAAAATTGTCTGCATTTGAAACAAAAACGTTGATGGCATTTAATTGAAAAAATTGCATCTCATTGAAAAATAGTTTT